CAATCACGCCGCTTTACGCCTCGTGTCCGACATGGATGCAAATCACAGAGGGATCTGCGGGTAAAGCTCTGCTTATTAAAAGCCAATTCCTGACTCATTACAGCCCGCTCATGCACACAGTGCCTGTCGCCAAGATGAACAGCAGGTAGGGCCGACATTGGTGCAGTTGCAACATTGCTGGAGATGAAACAGACGGCTTTACCCATTTCGACGGGAAACATTTCTTGTCTCAACATAGACCAAAAGGCCTCGTCGAGTTTAGTCGACACCGTTCCGATGACTACGTTTCGTGCAAAATCGCTGATCAATTGTAACGTCATAATTTGACATCATCGATCGCATCTGCAAGCCAAAAAACCCCCGCGAAAAAACCCTGCAATCTTGTTCGCATTCTCCGTGCTGCCATCGTTCATAGTCCAACGTTTTTCACCACACACAGAAAGATTTTTTTTCCAGCTTTTGAAAGATATGGAAAATTTAATGGTGTTAATGATGGTAGCATTGTGGGAGGTTACAGTTGAGGGCAGAGATTTGCCTTGCAACATGCCCTTGCTGAGCGGGAGATGTATAATGAAGTGTGGTTTGAGGAAACTACAAACCCAGTTAGCTTTTTTTTTTTTTTTTTTTTTTTTAAGGGTCATGATTCCAGGTTTTAACATCGAGAATGACTTTTGTAAGTAGGACACTAGATAAATGTGCACGAAGCTGAGCTTTAAAAAAAGAGAAAGCGTGTGCATTTCCAGGCAGACAGGTGACTTTTTTTCATTATGAGCATCCTATGAGATTTCTCTAATGGCCATAGTTGAGATGCACCCTCACTCCCCATTGCCTTTTTTATTTATTACGACCTAATTATATCAGTGCGTCAGCTAACCCGCTCCTTGCCCTAAATGCCATAATTTCCTCATGGCTGATACTCCCCTTTCCATGCCGTGTAAACTTTCATCACATACTCTTTTCAATCAGCCGCGCAGCTGTTCGTTCAATTTGTTTACAGCTTCGTGTCAACTGTTGCAAATGGAACTAAATTAACACATCTGTTCCAGTTTAAAGTCAAACAAAAGTGGAACACCATTTGTTTGTAGAGGCTGGTTGACCTCTGATTTCGTTTGGATTTAGAAACAGCTAAATCTGCAAAAAGCAGATCTAAGTTTTGGCGCGGGTAGTGTAATGCAACTTTGATGGATTTGATCCAGGATGCAGAAGGACGCATAATCTGGGGTGGTTGTAGTGCTCACTCCACAGTGGCCAATTTAACATAATCCGCAAGTGTAGATCTTGCAGTTTCTTTAAAATATATTTTCCATGCATCAACCGCCAGAGATGGACTCCACCGAGTCCTTCTGCCATAGAGACCGTGCACCTTTCTCTGCGCTGAATTTAAAGAGAATGAGGTGAGCCGCTTCTATTGGATGGCAAACAATTCGGCTGCATTCCTTCACCCCCTTCTATCTGCACCGTCGACCAAAATACCAAAAGAAAGAAAACTCGTGAACACTATTAGACTGTGCTTTGCACTTGGCATGAAAACTGTGCTCTTAGTTTTATAGGAAGACTCACTGATAATTCCTCATCCTATACCAACGTTGGCAGCTGTGGTTAATGTCGGCTTGCTTTCAGTGCACGTTACGTTAAGGGCACATCTCATGCATGTAAGTGAAGGCGAGGGGGGACTTTGGTCAGAGAGACAGGAAAGGATGAGTGACATTCAAAGCAGGTTTTAAGACTGCACACTCCCCTCTGGATTGATGCTTTTTAGTGCTGCTACCTTGTATTTCTATGCGGCATACACAAACCAAAGAGGAAACAAATAAGATCAGGGTTACAACTGTTTCAATTAAATTCATCACCTTTGAAATAAAGGCTGAAGTTGTTCACCCGCTCTTGTTCCTGCTTAGTCCATTCGGGATGCAAAGGATGAGGCAAGGAGTTTTATGTATATAAAAAAATATATACAATAATAATAACAACATAACAACACGAGTTCAGGACTGTTGGGATGAGGAGAGGTGGGGCAAGTTGTGAACGGGCCTGCCAGGTACCAGAGCTGAGGCCCTATTAAAAAACTGAAGCCCAGCAAGTCGGACAAGATCCATCGCCTCACCTCGGGAAAAACAACAACCCCGCTCACCCTGACAGAGAGACAATCAGCCATGTGCTACCCGGGGTGAGGTTGCAGTGACCCGGCGTGCCGAGATGAAGCCGCTTCCACACACTGATGAGCACTTTGGCAGACATCAAACGTCGGCGCCGCAGAACCATGACCTGCCAGCGCCACCTTGTCTCCTGCTATCTGGTTTTGAGGTTGATGCGGGCAGACAGATCAGCAAATATCGATCACGGCACGTAAAATCCTCCCACTGGGCTTTGTGGGGTGATTATGAGCCTCAGGACCCAGTAGAAGCAGACCGTGTAGGCGTGTGTGTATACATTTGGGATTTTCATAACCCACCTGTCACACCGGGCGAGGAAAGCGGACCCACATTGTTTTGTTCAGGTCTCTCCAATCATCTGTGGAAGAGAGAGACATCTCTGAAGAAACGCCCGGGCAGACAGGCGGGAACACTGCAACATAGAAAATACACAACACAGAATAATGCATGTGGAATCCAATCATCGCAATTCAAATGATTTGAACACCTCCCCGACCAGCTCGCCTCTTCTTGCCTGTCTTCTGTTGAGGCCTCACAACTCGCCAACAGGACTGGGAGCATTCAAAATGTTTGCCTTTGGAATGGCCCATTATTAATTAAACTGGTGGGGTGCAATTTTTTTGACAGGGGCTCCCGAGGCAGTAAGTAACGTGGATCTTGGCGCTGACCTGACCCGACTGACTGC